TTTTTAACTCTTAGGGCCGCTGTTGACCATAATATCCAATATCAGTAGTCTTTTTAAAGCAGCACCTCCTTTGTGTCATCAGCACATGAAGAAAGAACACGACGGAGAACAGGACGTGTTCAGATCCGTCCTTTATTTTTGTCCATCGGAGCCACGGCGATTTGATGAAATTTCTCTTGTATGGAAGGTGCATGATTCTCATCAATAGTTTGCTTTGGATTTTACATCGATTTTACTGGATTTACACGTAAGGATAACATTCAAATATGTCCTGGGACAGAACAATGAAAACGCAAGTGAGGCTTTTCGTTTCCCTCCTCTCCTTCGGCTTTGTGCTCGGGCAGGTCAGCTACAGCATTCCGGAGGAAATGTCCAGAGGATCTTTAGTCGGTAACGTAGCTCATGATTTAGGTTTGCAGATCAAACGTTTAAAAGCAGGGAAAGCGCAGATTTTTTCACCAGACAGCGAGGAGTACATAGAGCTGAGCAGAGACAGAGGAGTCCTCCTGGTTAAAGAACGGATCGACAGAGAGGCGCTCTGCAAACAGACGACGCCCTGTGCTTTACATTTTCAGATCATTTTAGAAAACCCGATGGAGTTTTACAGTGTTACAGTTCAGATCACAGATATTAATGACAACGCACCGGTATTTGAAAAAAATAAAAAAGAATTTAAGATCAGTGAGTCCGCCGTTACTGGAGCTATATTTGTGCTAGAGAGAGCTGTGGATCAGGATGTTGGAATTAATGATCTAAAAAGCTACAGCCTCAAACCAACCGATAATTTTGCTTTAAAGCTTTACAATACGGCGGATGGGAATAAAAACGTAAAAATGGTGCTACAGAAACCTTTAGACAGAGAACAACAGGAGCAAATAAATCTGGTGTTAACAGCTGTAGATGGAGGAGAGCCGCAGATGTCAGGAACCATGCAGAGGATCCAGAGTGACAAGAACCTCCTGGATCAGCCTGACTCTCCTATAGAGGTTAGAACTTGTTTCAATTTTAATTTTTGTCATTTTCCATTCATGAATATAATTTTGAGTAATTTAAATTTATGTGACTGGAGACTTTTTTGTTTCTTTAAAATTACATAGTCTGAGGACAAGATAAAGGGCAGTTTTTRTTTTACTTTTTTAAGCAGAATTATGTATTTTTGTTTCTGAGACTTGCTGGACTTCTAAGCGTTTTCTTTCTTTACACTATTTTTTCTTAAACTAAAAATGCTTATCTATTTAATTTATTAGAAAAGCAGAAATGAAAAAAAGGTCTACTAATCCACCGAAAGCTCAGCAAGACCACCTCTGGTCACTTTCAGCACCACGATCTTTGTCAAYCATTGTGCCCATATCATGTTTGTTCTGTGGTTGACTTCTTTATAAGTATTTACATATCTGAAACAATATCATTTTTCTTAGGCTTTTTCCTTTGACTTTGATATTTCTTATTTACTTCTTCTTTTCTGTCTTTGTGGAAGTTAGTTATTGAGCACAGCTTCATTACTATTATTTTAAATGAAGTTTTGTCATTGCTTTTTATGAGAATTAATTCRGCACCATGGACAGCTTTTTTAAGGGGACATTTTTGTTTTTCTTTTGTTTTCTTTGGTACATTTTTAACGTGCATTATTTTGTATTTCTGTCACGAAATGCAATCAGGAACTTGGAAAATGTTTGTCACTCTAACTGAACTCTCTCTCTCTCTCTCTCTCTCTCTCTCTCTCTCTCTCTCTCTCTCTCT